AACTGGTGACTATCTAAAATCTGATTGGCTATTGCATTCACCAGCCAATCAGATTTTAGATAGTCACCAGTTTCACCTAGTTTCACCGACGATATATTATGACCAAAGTAGGTAATCGATCGCATATAGTGAAAGTGCTAACGAAACGATAATCGAAATAGCCAATTTTGGATGAAGGCATAGATTGCATATTTAGCATATCTAGCATATCTTCTAGCTTATTTAGAATATTAAGAGTATTTAGCAGATGTACAAGTATTATATAAAAGCAGTGTATTCACTCTTTATGTATCAGCTATCTCACAATAAACTGTTTAATAAAATACTTACCCGACCAAATTCACGCCTCTTTCGAAGTGGTAATTATTTCCTTCGTCACAATAAACGTGTAAAAGGGCACCATATAACTTTGAGTTCAGATAAAACTAAAATTTATAATCAACTTCAAGCAAGCTATAAAATCGTAAATCAGCACGAATAAGAAATTAATAATAGATACATAGATTATTTCAAATATTTCGATTATTGAATCGACTTGAATAAAAGACTGTTTATCGACCAAATCAGCATGGACAATTAACTAATAAACTAATAAGAAGTGCATACATTGTTTTCGGATACTTTGATTATTATTTTATACTTGCCGGTTAATGAGAAGTGATAGATTATTTTACCGCAAAGCTTTTTTGTCATATTTTAAACTATACTTGCAGATAATTTAATATAAATGTAAAGAAATAACTTATTTCAAATACACCTATTATTATGTTCATCAATTAAATCAATGAAAATAGGAAATCAGGTTAGAAGTGAATGAGTACTATTTATTTTTCGCAACGGCGTGAATAAAAGGTAAATTCCCGGTTATACGAGGGCCTTTCGGGCCCTCATGTAACCAGGGATCTATTTTTTGTAACTAGAGATGGGCATCATGCGCCTTATCATTGTTACATTACTAATATTATGAAAATCACACTGGGCGTCAATGTTTACATAAGTTATAATAAGCACCATGTCTTGACAGCGGGATTTCTTTTCTCAAATTATGCATCTTCATACAGCAGATCAGATTAGTGGGTATTTTATACCCTTTTACCATATAATTTGGTCATTTATACTATACAGATATTTGTAACCTTTAAATACCATGCCGTACAATCTTCTATTGGGTATCTTTATACTCCTGTTGTACTGATCTGGTTATCGTGATAACGCCAAAAAAATATTCAAATTTATGACCTGATAATTAGATTTCTCCCATAGTCATGAGAAATTTTTTAGCGTTAAAACAAATTGGTAATTTCGAAATAAATTAAGAATATAAGCTGTACCTTATGAAAAAAAAAAAGATTGATAAAAATGTACAGGACACTCGTGATGGAAAATAATTTTATTATAAGAGGATTTCGAGCTATAAATTAATAAATTTAATTAAGGTTTTATATAACTTATATCGATATAAATTCCTTGTTGATATTGTATTTATTTATATTTTATTTAACATTTTCTGAAATTTTAAAATTATATTCTACGTAAAAATGATAGATAAATTCTTGCTGTTACTCACATTAATAGCATTGTAGATTTGCTACGTAGAAAATTACTATGCCTGAAATAGTTAATAATAATCAAGTTTTATATAATACGTATAACAGATAAATAAATAAATAAATTATTACGTATTAATAATAAATAAATTGTATTATAATTATATATATATATTATATATATATTTATATATTAGGACTTTTTGGGATTCAGTTTTTAAAGACCGGGTCCTAAAGTCCTGGACTTAAAGACTTTACCAACCCGCAGCTATTTTCTTGATATATTAATTTAAAATTAACCAATAACGATACTTGTTCAATGAACTGCATTCATTATATTGATAAATAAAGATTAATTAATTACGGATAAGTTAAGCTGTACGTATCAGATATGAATGAAAATCCAAATTAATAGATGAATAATACTTTTAGATATCGGCATACATTCATAAGTTTAACTCCGATAATTAGAATTAGGTCCTTATTACAATATTAAGAGTTTTATACATTCAAGAACATACCGCTGTAATAATTCAAATGCATAATTTATTTGGCCGGTCCCGGCCAAGGGTTTAGCGCTGGTCAAAATTGTACATACATACGCATATATATATATATTAATTAACCTATTTACACCAACCTCCATTCAATTAACCCAACAAAGAATCTTTCTGATCGTGCTGACCAATCAAGTTCTTTATTGAATTCACTGAATGAGGAACTTATCAATTGACAGGACCAATCTAATTAAAGACTCTTCAACCAATGACTTGGTTGAACAATGATTTGCCAACTTTAATAAATTTATGTGGATCACGGAGATCTAACAGTGGGTTGTCTCCGAATATGACAATTAATAATAATTGTCATTTTTTATATCATTACGGCGCATTTGCGAAATTAAGCAGACAATTTGTCACCAAATCCAAGCATTTGGTTCCCCAAATTAAATTTTAGTTACCGAATTATATATTAATCAATCAATGTTAAACCTCGAGAAAATTATTTGAACCCCTGATCTGTACTGATAACGCGTCCAACCCATCTTTCCCACATACTAACCCATTTTCCCACTCTCATTAGACATAATAATTTACTAAATGACGCATAATAACTTGAGGAATGTTGATTATCTCAGTTAAAACTTATATTTACGTATTAGTAGTCAAATTTTTAAATTTTTGGGGTATTTCGCAAATGCGCCGTAATGTATATATGTGAGAGTGGTCTAGAAAATGTCGATCTGGGAATTTGATAAAATAAATAATTATTTTATCATTCTTCTTATATTATATAGTATTTATTAATCATTTTATGATCAATCGGAGAATCTAGACTGACATTTCCTAGCTACCTCTCATATTCATAAGCTAAAATAGATAACTTGTTTATTTAATACTTAGTGAAACCATAATAATAAAAGATACTAATTGAAGGATGCGTACATACACATTAAAACAAAGAACATGAAAAAAGAATATACGTTATACGTAAAAATTTTCCCAGCGTGTCCAAAATAATAATATTTTATTGCACAAACACATAAAATTGGTTGTCGTTCAGTTATCAGTGGCGAATTTTTTTATTCTGCACAATGTAACATGAGTAACGCTAAAAGGAAGCTACTTTGAATTGTTGATGACCTAGTGATCGAACACACTCACAACTTTAATAGACATTAATAATTGTGCATTGCGCTATATAGAGCAATTTCTATAATTTCTATAGAATACAAAGAACCAATACATACATAGTAAATCCCGATAGATAATGATCAAACATTTTCATTCAATACTAGCTATAATTAGTTGTTACAATGCCTTATGCGTTCGTTCCAAAAGAATTTGTCATTTTATTTTCCATTTGGTTTTTCGTTTGATAACAATATTTATACGTTATTATAAATGCGAGTATTCATCGGCCCTCAAAAAAATTTTTGAGCAAAAGCTCAGACAAATATGAAGATAACCTTTGATAATTCGGATGGCTTTTACGTATCTCACGATAATTAATAATAATACTTTTGATATATTAATCTCTAAAATAAAATCGGAAACACGAAAACCTTCGGACAAAGCGTTTAATATACAATCACACGGTTCAAATTCTTCGTGTCATTCACTCTTTGTATTTTACCTTAAGGAAAATTTTAGAGAAAGGACAAGCCAAACCATTATTCATGAATTAAATGAACTTATTCAATTGAATGCATCTCCGCAAAATTTGGAATTTATTAAATATGATTGGACTAAAAGTGTTTGCTGGGCAAACGACACGGCACGTGACTTGGAGTTTTTACGAAAGGTAAGTTTTTATTATTAATAATCATAAATAAGGATGGGAAATTCACCAAATATTGACCGGAAATGATCTTCGAGCATATATTTCTGACAACTTACAAGATTTGTACGTATGTACATGTCAAAGTTATATAACTTTGACGTTAAGATACGTATTTCTATATATATATTTAATTTATCTGTACTGGCCACGTGAAACCGAAGTAAATAGGTGTTTACTAATTTTCAAACCATTTCTGATTGGCTCTACTAATTATTCACATATCGGAGCATCTGTACTATTAATCAAAATTTATATTACTCCGATAGTGAAGGGTGGGAAATTAGTAAACCCGTAAATTAGTCTTATCAGAAAATTCTAGGTTCCGATGATAAAAGAGTCGGTATCTTCTTACAATAATGATATTATAGATTTTTCCGAAAAGGTCAGTCTACCTCTGAAACTACCAAAGGAATATATGCTCGTAGATAGGGTTGTTAATGGTTAGGTTGGGTGGTTTGGGTTAAACTATTCCTCAACCCACTCCAACTTGGATTGGGCTCACTCCGGAACTTTTGTCGTAATTCTACTCGTAGACCAGTGGCACAAATTCTGTCACAATAAAATGTGCAGGATCTATAGTGCAGTACATTTTATAGTAGAGATTGGTATAACGCAAACCGAAATTGAGTAAAAATTTTAATACACAATGCACTGTATTACAATTGTGTACAATTTTTTTACGTAGTTAAAATAATTATTTTTAAACTTTGCTGTGTACCACCTGTTTGCAGAATGATTTATTCATCATGCTAACTCCGGTAAGGTTGTAAAATTTCTTAAATTAGATTTCATGCAATTGTAACTTAATCCATCAAATATAAAATTCAGTTTGAATATTATATAACACCAACCAAATTTTGTAATGCAGGTATTCATCATGTGATGTGATCAATATTACGTGAAATCTAATTTAATGAACCTTTCTGAAGTTACAATTAATTTAAATTGTAATTTCGTAATGTAACTAGAGATATATCTTGCGCGAGATAAACCTAGCATACATTTCACATGCTGTATCTCTCATGAGATTATATCGTGCGATTTCGTATGAATCATAAGAATTCGTAAGAATTCATTTTGGAATATATATTAAATTTCTAAGTTTCTTTAAATTTTAATCGAACGATTTATCTCGCATGAATTATGATGTCACTCGCGCAAGTCGCACGATATCGTAAATCAACCTAACCTTGTGACCAGGGTGAAGAATTCGATGTGCGCATGTGCGGATCGCACATGAAATTTTCTTTATTTTAATATGAAGAAGGCATGTGATCATATAAGTGCGCACATGCTTTTCAAGCTGAATTTTTTACTCTGCTTGTGACAGGTCTCTGCGTAGCTCCCATCCTTAGTTATTAAATTATATTAATGTTGAAATTAAATCGTATCTAAAATAAACAAGGAGTTTAGGATCAAGAAAGAACCCAAAAACAATAGCTACACGGTAATTTTTTCGAGCAAATACAATGTAAAAGATTCAGAAAGATCAAAGTGCAAAAAACACAATATTGTCCAGACTAAAAGAAACCCTTATATCGCCAAAGAATCTCCATTGAACAAGTTTAATGGTCTTGGCTCTTTAAGATGGATTCAATTTGACGAACTCAAAAATATTGACTACTTCACAGAACATAAATTTTATCCAGCCGAATGGACTGGTGATCAAACTCTACAATATAAAAGAGGAATAAAAGTTGTTCTGATAAGTCTTGATTGTTCACATGAAAATATTTTAAGCACTATAAAAAAAATATACTTAAAATGTCTTGATCAACTTAGCATACATGATTTATTAGGTATCACACGAGTCCCACAAGATAGTCATTACCTATTGATCATAAAAATGACATCAAAATTATTAATGAAACCGCTGAGAATCTTTTTATATAATGAGAAACTGATCTGTAAAAGTTGCAAAACTTTAAATAATACTGATTACTGGTGTAAAACATGCAACGCTCGTCGTTTCAAAAAAAATTTTGTAGAATGGACAAGTGGAAATAAGGCTGTCGATGAGTTTATTAGAAATTCTCAATTGAATGCATCAAATGATTATAATGTTCTAGAATGGATTCCATATGAAAAATTTAAAAAAGTTAAGTATTTAGATGGAGGCGGGTTTGGTAAAGTTTATAGTGCAATTTGGACTGATGGGAGAATTCTAGAATGGAATGATCAAACTCAACAATGGAAACGAAAAGGTAAAATGAATGTCGCATTGAAAATTTTACATAATTCATGTGCAAAATTTGATGAGTTTTTACAAGAGGTATGGATTGATTTGATTATTTCAAATTTGTATTGTACATATAATTATTTAAATAATGATCCTACATACAATATTTAGATAAAATTCCATATCAATATTGCATATGAAAGTTGTACAATCTGGTGTTACGGAATAACCAAAGACCCAAAAACAAATAATTTTATAATGGTTTTGGAATATGCGAGTCATGGAACTCTTCGTAATTATTTAAACCGTAACTTGGGAAAATTGTCACTGTTTTGTAAAATTGACATTCTATTGAGCATTACGAAGGGACTTAAAGCGATTCATTCCGCTGGGTTAATTCATGGAGATCTTCATAGTGGGAATGTTTTATGTGACAAATATAGCGGAACTAACATTACAGATTTAGGTTTATCTTTCCCAATTGATAAAATTAATGAACGGAATGATAAAAAAAGAGAAATTTATGGTGTATTGCCTTATATTGCTCCCGAAGTATTACAAGGGCACGAATATACAAAAGCTTCAGATGTTTATGGTTTTGGTGTCATTATGAATGAATTGTTTTCTGAAAGACCTCCTTTTTATAAAACCTCATATGATGAACTTTTAATATTTGGTATTATTTATGACAATCGACGTCCGAAAATTAATCCCAAAGTGCCGGATTTATTTAAGCAACTTATTGTTCGTTGTTGGGATCGTTCACCAGCTAATCGTCCAAATGCGGATGAGTTATTTACAACATTTTATAATTGGTGGAAGGAAAAAGATAAAGATTCAGAATTATATAAACAAATCCAAAAATCAAAGAATTTTCCCAAAATAAATCCTCGGGTTTTTTCTCCCCGACATATTACGTCAAGAATGTATTCAACAGCATGTTATACAAATTACCTGTTCAACACTTCTACCTTTTCAAAACATCTTTCAAGTGATTTCAGTATTCAATCCATTAATATTCTAAATCAAAGTATGTAGCGATTAGATTTGATATTACAATAGTTTCTTTAACGTTAATATTAATTACCAGTCCTTTTATTTAGATCTACTTAAATCAAGTTCTTATTTTATTATCAATTCTGATGATTCAGCGAGTCCTAATAACCACCTCCGCGAGGTGTTGCTTTTTCTCTTTAGTCTTACCATTTTTGCTTTACATAGCTACTTTTGCTGCTCGAGTCAGTATACTTCTTACCACATCTTATATTCATCCCTATAGCTAGAACCCAATAACTTCAACAAAGGTTATGCTAAGTTAATCAAAATTTTGATAATAATTGGCTAACGTAATAAAAAATTCTAATGCGGCCCCTTAATATTATTTGAAGTTCTATATAGGAAGCATTTTTAAATAGGTATCTATATAGTTAGCATTTCGAGAAAAAAACTCTTAAACAAAAGGATCATAATACACTGTTTTTATGTAATATATTAGAAATTATTCTTTTATATATTATCGTTATTAACTAAAGTTATAATTTGAATTTTGCTCATTATTTCCAACCTAGTACTATACACACTTTTTTCAAATGCTTGTTAGTATCATACAAAACAATATAAAATTTATTAAATAATATTATTAAAAACAGGCCTTATCTTAATGATCTATGCTCATGAAAAAGCAAGACGTAACAAAAACTTACCTCTATCACCATAAGGCTGTCGAGTTTACTCTTAAAGTTTGGGACATAGAATTGCTTTTTAATTCACAAACCAATTTCTTTGCCGATCAATTCGCATAATAAGTAACCCTATCAAGTGGTGTTCTAATACATTTTTGCCTAGATTTCTTCAAGTAGTTGAGCGACTTTGAAATATTTCACCTAGGCTAGCAATTTATTACACCTTTATATATTGGGTTTATGTAATCTCTGAACCATTCATTCATTCTCTTTCCCTACAGTCAATTTGTACATCAAAAATTATAGTTAAAGCGATAGTTTCAACATATACTGGTACCTTTATATTTCTTAAGCTCTTCTACTGATCGCAAGACTAGTATTCAGTGACATTCGCCATTATCGAATATAATTTTCTATTCGTTGTCGGAAAATTCATTAATTCATTTCTATATCAACGGTAAAATCTTAACGTAGTAAGATTCATCCCATAATCCTTCATATTACGGAGGCTAAAACTGTTAATTCGGGTTCCCTACAACACGGACGAGAGTAGGGTCCGGAATGGGCCGGGTTGGGCGGGCTTCAATAGGGCCCATACTTAGGCCCGTAAAATATTTATGAGCCCAAGCCCGGCCCAAGAAAAAAAAAGCCCAAATGACGGACCTGGGCGGGCCTTAAATTAAAATTAGGCCCAGCCCAAACCCGACCCAAATAGGCCTGCCAATTTCTACAATATCAAATAATCAACTATGTAGCCATGAGAATCTATTAAATGTTTTTGATTTCTCAATAATGGCCTGGTTATTTTTAATAATTAAACCCATTTTCAAATTCTACTAATTTGTAGAATTTGAAAATAGTGTTACCATCGGTTGGGAGAGCAATTGCGGATGTTAATCCAATTTAGCTCCGATGGATAACTAGGTTCGGGATTTAT